GGGGGGCCCCAGCCGAGGGTGCCAGCAGCACGCAGGCTATCCGGGAATCTGGGCTCTCCCATGCAAGAAATCTCGGGACCGGGCCGGCTGCAGCCCCCACGTCACAGGGCAATGGCCTCTTGCAATCTGCGGAGAGGGGACTCTGCCAATGTCCGGATAGGAGGGGCCAGCCGCCCGGCCCAGGGCCCCCCCAGCTCTGCAGGAAGAGCCCCGGCAGGGGGGCGGAGGTGGGGGGGGGGGCAGCGGTGGCAGGAGCCGGCTGGGAGCGAAGAGCTAGCAGGGCGGGCCCCAGGCTGCAGTGCACAGACCAGTACAAAACAGCAAGTCCCTTTCACCGCCGCACACTTCAAAGGGGCAGCATTCCCCCCCCTCCCCAAGAGCCGCCGGGCTCCGCAGTAGAGGCCCACGGCTGCCCAGCCCCCAAGGACGGGGGCTAACGAGGGCCCCGTGCCCCACCTGCAGGAGGGGATGAACAGCAATAAACACGCACTGAGCGGGATGAATTGGTCACTGTTTGCTCCCCGAGCCCCCAGCCGTGCAAGGCGTCTGGCTCAGGTGAGAAAGGGGGTGATGAAACCCCACAAGAAACACTGGTGCCTGTGATGTGGGGGGGGGGGGCTGTCTGCTCTGTGACCCGGGGTCCCCTGCGCTGGGCTGTGCGATTCCCACTGACATGTGGATTGGCCCAGACACCTAGCCCCAGCCTGAGCAGATGACAAGGCGCTTCCCAGGGGGAGAGACAAAGGGAGGGAGGGGGAGACGAACACCAGGTTTCGGGGGAAGTGTCAGTTGCTGGCTAGGAACCATGAAGGAAACAGCCTAAGCTGAGGGTCTAGGGAGGGCGATGGACCCCATAACCCAGGGGGTCTGAGGCATCCTGGCCCTACTCCTGTAGCCACATCCCGTCTGTGCTGGGCTGTATCCCAGAAAAGCATTAAACACCCCGTTCTACTGGCTGGCGGAGCCTGTTCTTGCTGCTACGGGGCTGCAGGATCGGGGGACCCCGACTCGCCGTCACACCCTTGTTGTGTTAAGAGCAGTGTGCCCTGTCAGCTGAGCGCTTGGGCCGCCACCCAGGAGAGATTCACATGCTGTCCAGCTGATTAGCAGAGTGTTTCTGCTGGTGGTGCCCATCTGCACTTGCCTTGGTGCAAGGCCTACCCCACCCCCTGGGGCCAGGATGCTCTGAGCTGCGGGTTCCATCACAGCGAGCCTGCGCCCAACTCATCCAGACCTTGGCCAAGAGGCCACCCCTGCTACCACGGGTAGGGAAATCACCGAACCACGGAACACCAGCGCTGGCAGGGACCTCGAGAGGCATCGAGTCCCGTCCCCGGCCCTCCCGGCAGGACCAAGCACCATCTTTACCATCCCTGACCGGTGTGTGTCCGACTTGCTCTTCAGTATCCCCAGGGATTGAGATTCCACAACCGCCCCAGGCAACTTATTCCCGTGTTTAACCGCCCCGACAGGCAGGGAGTTTTCCCAAATGTCCAACTTCAACCTCCCTTGCTGCAGTTTAGGCCCATTGCTCCTTGTCCTGCCCTCAGAGGCCAAGGAGAACGATTTTTCTCCCTTCTTCTTGTGACACCCTTTTAGATACCGGAAAGCTGCCCTCTCAGTCTGCTCCTTTCCAGACTAAACAAGCCCAATGCCTTCAGTCTTCCCTCTGTGATGCAGTGGGGGGTACCTTACCACTCTCTGGCTGCTGCCTGTAGCACCACCGAGCAGACAAGCGATGAGTCACTATGCAAAGAGGGTATCCCAGCTGGTTTGGCCAGCTGACCCCCATGGAGAGGAACAAAGGAAGGTGGATGCTGCCCTGGCTGGGGGGCAGGGCTGGGGGAGAGTGAGTTAGTTCCTGGCTGGAAAGCAGGGGAGAAGGAACTGGGGAGGGGGCTGGGATCCCCCCATCTCAAAGGGGGCACTGAGGCCTCTTAGGCCCCAGTTCCTGTAACCAGATTACATCTGTGCTGTGATGTATCCTGGAGGAGCAATAAACTCCCTCTATTCTACTGGCTGGTGGGGTCTGTCCATGCCACTACGGGGGTGCAGGGAGGGAAATCCCAACGCGCTATCACACCCTCTCAGCTCATGTTCTCTAGCCCTTGGATCATTGTTATTCAGCGAATCCCAAGCCCTAGCGCACGCCGCGGCGGGGATGCAGCTACCTCTGGGTGCGTGTCTGAGCTGCGCCCTGCTCGGGGCCTCGCACTAGCCAGTGTCATCCCGGAAGCAGCAGACAAGTCAGCGCCGCAGGCAGGGCAGCTCCAGGGCTCATCAGGAAACAGCCACACTCTTGGGGGAGGGGAGAGAGTGGAGTTGTCGCCGGCACAGAGGTTGTTACCACAAACCAAGGGGCAAAAGTCCCCAGGCGCAAGAGCAGCGCCTCCAGCTCTCCCCGAGGGAGTCGCCCCATTCTGTAAGGGCCAGGGCCAAGGAAGCCAGGCCACGTGTCTGCCGGCGTGTCTGCTAACGGCAGCATCTCCGGGGCAGCCGAGGAGAGCAGAGCAGCTCTGGTGGCCACAGGCCACGGGGATCTAGGCCTGGCACGGCGGCAGCACCCACAGAGACCCCTGCACAACCCCTGGGCGTGCAGCCCCCTACCCCAA